GGGACTATTTGCAGAGTTGTGGGCATAGTTTAAAGTAACCAAAAAGGGATGATGGATCACCCAGGGACTAGCACCAGTTGGAAACAGTTATCCACTCAGGCAAAGAGGCAAGGGGTTGGGAACTATGCTCCAGAACCCAGTGAGAGTTACAGGTATGGAAAAGGAGCCACTCAACAAGAGCCATGGCCAAAGAGGAAATATAGCAGGGAATACGTTGTACTATTGTTTCTACCTCCTTCCACTCTTTGCTTTTCTGCTGATCCTTCCTGTTGGGAAAAAGTCTCATGTGCATAGCCTTTCAACCCCTCTTAGCCTCGTAAGAATGGGTCTTGGACTTGGAACACTTCCTTACCAAGACATGAGGAGCTCATACAACCTGTACTTTGTGGGATTACCATCCCCTGTTTCAGGCTTGGCCCCAGCTTTCAGTATTTCAGGCTCTAGGGATAGTGTGGGATAAAGAGGGGGAGGGTGCTTGTGGGCCAATTTCCCTTTGTCAGCTGGCTGGCAGCCACTAGCTGTATGAGACTAGTGCACATGACTGGAAGCTGATCTTACTCTGTCTCTTCTCTATGTGAGTAAATCATTGTTCTACCTAGTGCTTGACTGTTGTGTTTTCCTTCACAACCTTGATACCAAGATATAATGGGCAGAAATGTATAGAGTCCTTTTCTGGGATTGGTAACCAGTGCATGGTGTTCTGTTCAACACTTCCTCTCATTGGCAAAACCCAACCAGAAGCGAGAGAGGGCAAGCGAGGACTGGATAATGTAGTCTTTTGAGATAAGGGAAGACAGAGGTAAAGAGCAAGGCAGAGCAGGGTGGAAAATGAATCTGGAGAGACAAATGGAGAATAATCATGAGAGTACTCAATACTTAATTTGTTAAATTAAATTGAATTTTTAATTGTTAAACACAATTGACCCTTAGGTATTGTTAGATTAAAGTGAAAAATGATCAAATGTCTGATGATTTAATGTTTCTGATATAAATACCTTGACATAAAAATCTCTTTAGAATAATGAGGTAACTATTTGTCTCATATATATATATTTGAATAGTAGAAATAATAAAAATGATGCAATAATCAACCTATAAGATTGTGAAATTAAAATAACTCAACTTTTCAAGACTTTATGTTTTCCAAATATGCATTTTTCAAAATGTGAAAATTTGGATTGTCTAACCTAGAGAAGACCAACTCATTTTCCACGGCCTACCTCAGAAACCACTTCTGTGAGTTGTCTTTTACTTGGACAAATTTAAGAGTTTGTGAAACATTGTTCGTATTTCTGTTACACCACTTACATTCCTAATAGCTAGTTATTCTTATTGATAACATTAAAGTGGTTCACGTTTACTGCCTGTTTACTATGTGCCAAGCCACTGTGCTAAGTCCTTTACATACATTATTAATATTATCCTCAGAATAACCCTAGAAGTGTAGATACTATTGCTTGGTGCTTGATGCATCGGTGGGTAGAACAAATTTCACAAAGGCCAGAGATCTTTATATTCTTGTATTAATATTTCTACAACATTTTGGTTTTGTGGTTATTGTTAGTATTCATATGTTTATTAGCCATTTAGATTTTTTTCTATGAAGTCCCTGACCTACTCTTTTTTTAAAAAAATATTTTATTTATTTATTTATTTTTGGCTGTGTTGGGTCTTAGTTGTGACACACGGGATCTTTGATGCGGCATGTGGGATCTTTCATTGCAGCATGTGGGCTCTTTGTTGTGGCACGTGGGCTTAGTTGCCCCGGCATGTGGGATCTTAGTTCCCCTACCAGGGATCAAACCCGTGTCTCCTGTATTGGAAGACGGATTCTTTACCACTGGACCCACCAGGAAAGTCCCCCTGGGCTCTTTTGTTCATTTTCTACTGGATCATCTGTCTTTTTCTTTCTTTTTTTTTTTTTTCTTTTGCGGTACGCGGGCCTCTCACTGTTGTGGCCTCTCCCGTTGC